AATGAATTCAATTAACAGCAAACTTCACACGATATAAAAAAGTTTTCCCATCCATTTTCACTATGTTAGTTTTTCTGTAAACATTGACACTGAGAAATTGTAAGTCCTCTTAGCAACACCCTCAAAACAAAAACTTTTGTCCTGGAAATGTTTGGCTTGTATTCCACAAAATATTGAGTTATAGGGAAATTGTACATTCAGAGTTGTGTGAGAGCTGAGAGGAAGTAAAATCACCGTCGAAAATGTTCTCACAGTCATTTCATCGATCACCATTACACGTATTACGATTACGAAAATTGTGACAATCGATCAGTCTGTTGAATGACTTTTTAACATTTCAGCAGCAAGGGCTTTGTTTTAGTTTGTTTTAGATATATATGTATATATAAATCAAGAATTCCAGCGAATACAGAAGGAGAACAGCATTCTTTAGTTTAGCAGTTCAGTGTATTAACGCAAATTGTTCCTATTTATCATAATTAATCGACATCCAGTCCCAACAAACACTGGCCGTACCACGAGACCCTAAATGGGATGTCATCATGAAATATACCAAAGACTGAAAACAAAAACTTTACTCAAGGTCTGATAACTACACGATAACACTATTATACTTCAATCTCAGATGTATTTTCATTGAGCTTCCAACATTTCGTACCATCTTGACCAAGATGCTGTAATTCAAACACAATTTTCTCTTGGCTCTCTGTTGCTATATAACGCTAGTTGGTAAGGTGACCCCTTGCGGGCGATCTCCTGATTATCCTGGTTAGGTGGAATGCATTACTCTCGAGGATTGCACGAAAGATGTAACTGGACATCTATCGACTCTTGGACTGAGTGCAGATGAAGGTTCTAGAACTGAAATGAAGCTGATATTAGCCAGAGCCGGTAAATATTGATTTTGTGTGTTTTCAGGTAACTTTATTGTGCTTATGAATGAGTGCTGCAACAGATTTAATTGGTGTTATATTTTTTACAGGTGTTTTCTCATTTGAGCAAAAACATCTTACCCTGACTATTTGCCCACGCCATAGAGCAGACTTTGGCATACGTTGGAGGACTAGGAAAACCCTTTGTGCAATTCCCAAGGATCTAGCGACACATAAGTCCTCAAGTGCCAAAGGAAGCAACCGTGTGGATAGCCGAAAATCGATGTACATTTTTTGCAACACCAACACCTTAGTTCCAGTTGGGTCGCGTAAGTTGAATTGCTTCTGTTGATAAATGTTCTCATGAAATAGCTTTTTCTCAGGTTTATTTGTAATACCTTACACAATAAAAAAAGCACCATAAGTTTCAACTTTCTCAAGCTAGCAAATTTTATATTTGTGAGGAAACTTTGCAATTTATATTGCCAACGTTGTTTTCTTGTCTGAGTAGCTGATAATCCATTAATCGATGACACATTGATTACTTTATACCTAGAAATAGTAATTGATATGAGCTATTTACTCTGCTTTTTTTTAAAAGCAATTTGTAGGCGATGCGACGAGTTTATCTGTGGGCAAGTTGCAGATGAACAGACGCCGGCGGAGGGCACTGGAGCAAGTACTGTGTCTACCCCCAAAGAGCCTCGAGTGGTGCATATACCTGAACGGCAGACAATGGTGAGCTTCAAATATGAATTGATGATCTCAATCTTGTTTTCTTTATAAGGAAAAGATTCATTTTTAGAAGAGCATAAAAATTGGAAAAAAAAATCGAGGAAGAAAAAAAACGTGAAAAAGCCCTTCAGGCAAACACAGTTGTTAATCTGGAACAAGGCTCCCTCGTTGATTAGTAAAACTCACTGCTTTTTGGTCTTTTTTTTATTTGAGGGGTGGGGAAGGGGTGGGGTGCTATACCGCACTTTGGTAGGCTAATTCCTGTCCCACATTTGTTTGTTTTCTGGATGTTCCGCAAGAGTACCTGGTGCTGAGATTTTTTACTACCCGAAACTGATTCCCTATAAACATATACAAAGAAATCGGTTTTAGAGATTTGATTCTTATAGAGCAAACCTTTTCGTAGGTTCATGAGATGGAAACAGACCGCCCAAGAGAGGAATCAAGTGTTGGCAGTGAGTCATCTTCTGATAGTCTAAAGACAGACTTGATGTTTCAGGAAATATCATCCCAGGGGTTGAAGGATGACGAGACGTTTCTCGGTCCCGATACTGCAAGCCTCGTCTCCTCAACGAGTGAAGAGAGCATCACCTCAAAGCCAAATTCCCGTGAAAAGTTGAACCAGTACCTGGTGTCCAAAAACATTTAACCTGTCTCTCAACCTTGGGTTGAGTTAGAAAAGGCCAGTGATAGCACTAGGCTTCGGTATACTAGACGAACCGCAGAGATTTTTTCTTCTGTGCTCCACGACCTAGCACCCAGTTGTGCAGGTTCTCTATGGCAAGCAGTTGTCTCTTATCCTGCCATGAACGAAGCACTCGGGCTGGACGAACTCTCCAAAACTTCCAAATGCTACCTCCAGGTCTTAACCGAGGCATATGACAAAGCCCATGAGTGGGACACAAGACGGCAAATTCTTTGGATGATATGTGGTGTTTTTAATTATAATGTTATCTCGAGATTCATACCTGGCCTAAGTAGATATCATTTTACCATAGCTAATCTGCATCGTCTTCGGCACGGAAGCGGCGCTTCAGTGACCCCCAGCCTTCATCAAAGATAAGAGTTGACCCAAGACAACTTCATCACTTCTTATCTTATATAACAAGCCCCCATTTGGTGCAAGATCTGCCATTTGGACAAAAAACACTGAAGCTCTCCCCCGGACATCTGGTTGAAGTACCTAATGTTATTCGCACCATGATACCGCAAAGGATAGTGCGTCAGTATACCCAATACTGCAAAGAGTCTGGATTTGAGGCGTTCAGCGAGCGGACGATGCTGCGTTTTCTAAATGAATGCAAGGCCTCGACCAGAAAGTCTCTCCAAGGCCCTGACTATTTCGCAGCAAACGGGGCGCGTGCGTTCGATTAACTAGAAGGCTTGGTTCTTCAACTGGGGGAGCTTGGTCTTGGAAAGGGGGGGCAAGTGCGATACGTGAAATCATTAAAGGTGGCCAAATTCTACCTGAAGGGGGATTTCAAGGTAAGCAACCGAGAGTTCCAAAAAAATTGGATTATATTTTTCAAGCAGGGTGATCTTATTTCACAAATGGATGGAAGTATAGCACGAAAAAAACCGTTCCGATGACAGGTCCACCTGACCGGGTAATATACGTCGGTTTTTGCTCTTGATATTCGTTTTTTATCAGTATAAATTATGCTTGTAATAGATTTAATCTTCTCAAATTATTGAGGTTATTCGATTTAGATAACATGAAGCATACATATTGCATATAGTTTTTGTCGTTAATGTTGCAGTAACATGGTAATCCATGCTTTGTGTCAAGCTGT